GTGACCGTCAACAGACGTCCAACTTCAATGCACTATGGGAAAATCTTATGTATTACGTAAACACTACTTTGATACTTGAACGGCCCGTCCTCACTGGTTGTGTGGACCCCAGCATAATCATTATTTATAGATTTGCTGGTTAAGCCATCGTGGTTCCCTGGTGTCCCGAAGGCAGCCTAGCCAAAGTCTGCCGGAGGTCGTCACCACCATAGGCAGGCGCTGCCATTGTGGATCAGAGAAAGATTTGCTGCCATGCGACTAGTTTGATACTACGACGGTGGTATATCCTGGTATTAGTTTACTCTTAGCTGGGCTTCCTGATGGAAACGTCGGGCTTTTTCTCAGCTTGGGAGGCCCTATAAGGGAAGGAACCCCCCGCTATACATCACAGCCGGAAACAGGAACACCTCCTTGCCACGATGAGGCGGTAAACCGTTGGGAGGTACTACGTGAATAGTACTAAGTAACTATGCGTAATAGTACTTATTTAGTAAGTGTATTGCGTGTGCCCTAGCAGTGAGGACTTTAATCAAAACACTGCGTGCGAGTGACGTCACGGCCTGCCCGTCGTTTAGTGTAGGGTCGCGTCGTCGACATCATCGTACTTTGTACCCTTCCGTCGTCCAGTCACATCATATGTCTCTTCGTGTGTGGCGGCCGGCTGACTGCATTCAGCTTTGTTACAGTCAAAGCCAGGATTGAAGTTTTCTTACTGGAAGTATTTCTTATTGATTTACTTGCCGTGGTTATTATGTTTTCGTCCTTTGCTCTTACTATCACCCAGAATATGTCATTTGCTTAGTTCAGCTTCTTTCGTCTAAGTTTCTGTCGTTTTGTCTGGATCATTGCCATTGGTTCATTGGTTCCAAGGCGAACTCTACCGGGACAAAAATGGCTGAAGCTCATAGTGCCGTAGCTCTTTCATTCACTGGTGAGCGATGTTATTGATTTTTCTTTGTTCGGAAGATTTTGAAGGTCATGTTGAAGAGTCCAATGACTCATGGAAGTGGCAACCAACCAAGTGGTGGCCCTACCAATAGCACCATTTCCTCAGCCGTTCTTTAGACAACAAAAATCCAATAATGAAGTTGTAGTTAAATTTCGGATGTATACGAATGAAACTTGCAAAGTCCATAATCACTATCGCGCGAAAAGATACAGCTCAAACCTCACTGAAGTGCAAAAACATGGTATTCGAGAGGTACGAGAGCTGATAAGGTTGAAAAACATAAGACTATCCGTTACTGATAAGGGTGGAGTGTTTCCTGTAATTCTCAATCAGTTAGATGTTGAGATAACGAAAAACCACCTTGAAGATGCTTCACTTTATCGCCCGTTATCTGAGGAGTTTAGAAGTAGATACCGAAAGTTGAACCACGAATGGGTCAAAATGGCAAGGGCTGATGGTTTAAAACCATCAGTTATCTCTCAACTAAAAGTTGGCTTACCAATATGTCCCGTCTTGTACTTGCTTATAAAAACTCATAAGCTAGTATCCAGCGATGGTCTTACGTCTATCGATCCATCATTGTTTAAGGTTAGACCTATCATTAGCTGTGTGGACTGGCCAACGGATAGGATAATATGGTTTTTAACCCTAATATTTAACCAGTTGTTGAAACACATTCCAGCCCATTTTACGAATACCTAGATGTTTCTGGATCGTCTACGTACTACTCAGCCAAGCAGCGCGAACGTGATGGAGTCCTTCGACGTTACCGCCCTTTATAGTAACGTGTCGAATGACTCCGCAATGCAACCCATGTTCGAATTCCTTATACAACACGAAGGAGAAATAAACATGTATGAATTCAAGATAGAGGAGTTAATGGCACTATTAAAAGAGTGCTTGAGCTGCTCAATCTTCAGATGGTCCCGAAAGTACTACGCTTAAATAAGAGGGTTGGCAATGAGCACCAAGTCTTGCCATTGCGCTTGTGTCTAAGCTGGAAACACTGACCGATCTCTGGCCGTTACTCTACTGTAGATATATAGATGACTGTTTTGTCCTTTGCTCAACACAAGAGGAAATGGACATATGTTTCGAGTTACTAAACGAACAACAAGAGTGTATCAAGTTCACTCGAGAGAAATCGAAAGAAAACTGGCTTCCATTCCTGAACGTCCAAATTAATGTCAGAAAATGGCTACGTTACGAAGTGGTACCGAAAGCCAAGTGGTGAAAACATCCTGGTTCATTACCTCTCCTCACACCCCTATCACACGAAAAGGGCGCTTGTGAGAAACATGTTTCGAACAGCAACCATCATGTGCACGGGAAGAGAGCAGAGAGAGGAGTCCCGGAACTTGGCACGGCAAATAGCCATTTCTAATGGCTGCAAAACTGTAGCTCTGGATAGGTGTAGGGGAAATCCTAGGCCTCTAAACGACAAGTCTAGCCATAAAAAGGTCCCGTTTATCCTACCCTTCATCTCAAATGATGTAAATGCAGCTATAAAACGCTGCTTGAGCAGTTCGGTCTAGAGGATTCGATAAACGGAGTTGAAATGCCACCGAATACTCTTAGGCGCCAGCTAGTTCGCAACCGCCTATATGACCGTCTATGTGTAATGCAAAATTGCATAGTTTTCCCTAATGGTGTAGACAGTGATTGCATGAGCTCGGGTGCAGTTTATCTGATCTCCTCTAAGGCGTGCGGAGACGAATACATTGGCCAAACGGGTAGACTACTCTGTGTTCGCATAAAAGAACACCTAGTGGGCAAGCGTCAACCTAATACCTCACTAGACACGCATAGGACCCAGAGACATAACGTGGACGACTTCGAAGTACGTGTCATGATCCTCGCACAGGAAGCGGGAACACAAGCGCGCAAAACTCTCGAGGCGTTCTGGATTAATTCCAGAAATCCGAAAATGAAGGGAGGAATGCCTCATTATCACGCGTGATATTGGGTAGTATACAAGCCTGCTATTCTGAAGGGAAGTGCACAGTACGCTTCCATGTGAATTCTGTGCCTTCGATCTCCACGCGACGTACTCAATGGAAGCTTCATACGAAGCGGTGAGTGTGCAAAGAAGTTATTCTGTGTTAAATGTGATTGAAATCTTGGTTCACCACTTTCTCTGTTTGGTTATGGCGGTGTTTGACCGAATAGATTGCTGTCAACTTGACCTTTCCAGGCTTTGAGGAGGTCAAAATACGCTGAAACGTCAGCTTATTCGTGAATAAAGAATAAAATAAGACCTCGCGTTTGGTCAACAAGAATACGAAGAATTACTTGATTAATGCCGAGGTTAATAGAAAGTCGGTTGTGGGACTCATGGAACCGTTTAGAATCGCTGTCAAGGTAGAAAAAACGTCATGCGATATGAGTAGTACGTATAGTATCGTCAATTATTTGAATACTTTGCAAACTGTGGTGGTTTATTGGAGTACTGAGAAGGTAGGAAATATGAAAAAAGTACAACTAGAATGATGCTGAGATATTTACTAAACTCAGGCCTGCAGGTGTCTGCAGTGATGTTTGCGTTAAAAGATAATGACGGGTTCGATCCACTCCACAGACACCTGCGGTGCGGAGGTGTGCAGATATCTCAGCATCATTATAGTTGTATTTCACACTATACCATGCCATGAAGAGGGAATAATCGGTAAATAAAAAGCGGTTGCATTGTGAAAAAATATTCACACTCGTTTTGACACTTTGACGATCCGACTTTTTCTAAGCACTCTTGTATCTGGGATAAGTTCTGTTCCACTTGTGATTCACATCGTCAAGGATGTAATTTATTGGTCTGTATGTAAGGTTTTCTTTAACTACGCATTTTTTAACTATACATTTTTTTCAGTAGTTGTAATACTAAGCTTCTCCCGAAGCAGTAGCCACATAGGGAACTGTGGAGGCGTAGTAAAAAGTTTTTCCTTGAATAGCTTTATGAGAATGAATGTTTGGGAGGGATAATTTCGACAACCTAGATAATTGGACTTTGGGAGAATAAACTAGCAGGACATTCACCTCGTCACATCGTTTACATGTTATACCTCTCATGATTCACTGCATTCCTGGACTAATTCAATTCCCAGGGCAACAGATCTTCCGATCTACGTAGTTTGGTGTGTCCTTCCAGTGATGAACTTGGAACATTTTAGCACGACTACTTTAGGATTGAAGTGGAAAAATTCTCTGGGCTGGCATTCATCATGTCAATACTTAACTGGATAATTGAGTGGCCCGTCTTCACTTGTTGTGCGGACCCCAGCATAGCTTCCGTTTCTTCGGAGTTTTGCCAGCTAAGCCGTTGTGTTTCCCTGGAGTGCCGAGCTCAGCCTAGCCATTGTTTGCCCCATCATCATCTCTATAAGGAAAAATAATTAAAAATCCTCAAATAGGAGTACAATCAACAACAAATAACAGTAAAAGCAACATCCGAGCGCTTGCATGGCTAGCGATAGCGAAACAACGAAACAACCAAGTGTCAGGAGCTCCACATGTGAAGGCGGGTCATCTAAGCATCTAAACACTAACATATAGTTTTCTGTCAATTCTTTGATGATCGTAGTAAAATTACTGACTATATCCGGTTGGAAAACACGTCTTGGCATTCTATCCACCAAAGCAACTGCATAGCGTTGCAAGGAAGACTAGGCAACTTCGGAAGTAAAAGAGAAACGAAGTAGTACCTTTTTCATTAAACAAACGAAGTTTAGACATAACTATAATGGTGCTGAGATATTTGCAAAATTCCGGTGCTGAGGTTTCTGCGTTACGGACCGAACACGCTGTTACCTTTTCCGGGGGCTAACGCGTTCACTTCCACACCATGCAGGTCCTTAGTTTCACCTTTCTTTCAGTTATTTTTCTATCTAGCAGTACCATCAGCAATCACCCGTCAACGGGACTCATCTGGGGAGCCGAAATCGGCAACGAACCCAGTTAAGCTGAGGATGTGGTTGAAATCACAATGTTAACTTTTAATTTACTGTGTATTACAGTTTTTCTTTTTTAGTCATTCAGCATATGTCCATTCATGTGGTGAATGCTTTCAGTTACCCACGATGGTGTTTCCGTCAGCTATGATCAGGAACTGCTCTACGATATCTGGCACGCTTTTCAACGAGGATACAAACGACGCATCGCTCGCTTTAAGGTCCTTAAGATTTTGTTGAATGTAAGGATTACCAATCCATCATCAGTTTAATTCAACCTTAATTTTGTTTTAGAATAACTTTATGGCTGGTATGTTTCCGGCCAATACAATCACCATTTCGATTGTGATCGGAGCCCTCTCTCTGTTTTCTACTTTTCACCGTGACTTGTCATTTGGAATACTTCCATTTATCGAGTACCACATTTTGTACTTTCTGTTTGGGTATGTTTGCAATTTCTTTGCAGCTTTTCTTGGGCTAATAAAATAAGAAAACACCTTTCAGTGACGGTATCATAGGATTTTGCTTCTCGCTTTTAATATCTGGAGCCTTGATCTGGTTTGTGTTGGTTCAAATCTTGCGGTTAACACTTAAAACCTTGCTTTCTTATAAAGGTTGGATGTATGAACAACCTGGGAAACCTCTATCTACTTCAACAAAATTGTGGCTGGTGAGTGCCATGTGTCTCGTAGTGTGATGTATTAACTGTTAATACTTTGGAATATTTGTAGGGTTTTTTGAACCTTATGTCGAAGTCTGGACCAATGTTGCATTCATACCAGGGAGCTCTACCGCATCTTCCTCTTCCTTCACTGGATGAAACAGTAAAAAAGGTGGAAACATGTGGTTTTTCAAGTGCTACCAATCTTGCCTTCGTTCTGTTTAACACGTTTCAAACGCTGTTCAGTTTCTTAATAACTCGAAAAACCGACCTTCTATAAACTTCAGCATAGATAGTTGATATATTTATTTATGTGATCTTATAAACTGATCTTCTTAAGCTGACGCGAGGTTGGTACAGATCTTCATTGTCGTTGTCGTTGTTTTTGATGTTATTAATGGATGGCTGACGTTTCGGCGATTTCGTCTTCCTCAGAGCCTGGACATATTTATTAGAATATTTTTATTTCGGTGGAAAAGAAAAGCTAAAGTGTTAATGAAGATCAAACTTTCAAATAGACACTAAATTGAACAGAAAGGCCACTCACCGTGATGTTACGTGCGGGACCGGCCCACGCGTTGTTTTCGCGGAGTCGCGAGCAAGACACACCCCGGGGTCAAAATATCATTTTGAAATAGGGGGCCAGGTTACGCGTGATAGTGAGGCATTCGTCTTTCCGGTTCAACTTTGGATTTTTGAAATTTATCCAAAGCGCCTCAAGAGTTTTGCGCGTTGATGTTTTTGATTCCTGCGCTAGGATCCGCACATTCACTTCAAAATCATCGCCGTTTTGCTTTTGTGCCCTATGTGTACCTAGAGGGGTGTTTAAACGGATTTTAGCTTTCCCATCTAGATGTTCTTTTATGCGAACACAAAGTGGTCTACTCGTTTCCCCGGTATATTCCTCGTCGCATGCATTACATGAGATCAAGTATATTATAGCTAAACTCATGCAATCCCCGTCTCTCCCGTTGGGACAGATCATACAGTTTTCTGAGCTGCACAAACGGTCATAGAGACAACCACTGTACCAAAGATCGATAGAAATAGCTGAGAGGCAGGCGAAACGAAGGACCCGCATGTTGTGGTGGTGAAAGCGTTACTCGCCGGAAAGGACAATAGCTCGTTCGTTCCCCACCATAGACACCTGCAGTCCTGAGTTTTGCAAATATCTCAGCAACGTTGTGGTTGTATTTCGCTTAGTACCCTGCCGCAAAATTATAGTAGACAGAAAATGAAAAGGTATAACATGGTCATAGAGACAGTTTCGAACTAGCTGGCGGCATAGGGTATTGGGTGGATGTCAATAATCGTTACATAATTTTCAAGGCCACTTTTTCCTAGTCACTTTTTAATGGCGTGACTTACTTCATTTGATATGAAGGGCAGCTTAAAGGGGATCTTACTTTCGTCTGAAATATTATTTTAGGAAACTACCCAACGTTTTCCTCTAACCCGAGTGGCTTCTACTTCGTAGGCATTGGAAATGGCAATTTTTCGTGCCAGGTTTTGCGATTCCTTCCTTTCCTCTTCTCCTGTACACACATTTTTAGCCGTACGATGCATGTTTTTGATAAGTGCTTTTTCCATGTGTGAAGGATGAGAGGAGAGGTAGTGAACTAGGATGTTTTTACCATTTGGCTTGCGATACCATTTTGTTATATAGCCACTTACTGAGAGCTTTATTTGGGTGTTTAAGAATGGATGCCAGTTCTCGGCAGGCTTTTCTCGTGTGAATTTCATATACTCTGACTGTCGGTCTAACATTTCAAAGCACTCATCCATGTGTTCTTGTGTGGAACAGACGATGAAGCAGTCGTCTATGTATCGACAGTAGAGTAAGGGTCGGTGATCGAGAACTGGAGCTTCCACCTTAGACATGAAAGCGATGGCAAAGCTTGGTGCTAAACGCTACCCCATCGCCAACCCTCCAATTTGTGTAAAATATTTTCCAGACCACCTAAAGGTTGAACAACTAAGACACTGTTTTGAGAGAGTCATTAGTTGCGCAATCGACAAGCCGTGTATTTTTATTTTCTTTTCATGCTCTGCGAGCAACTCGAGAATGGCTTGCATTGCGGAGTCATTGGATACGTTGGTATAAAGTTGGTTATCAAATGAGGTAAGCCACGCCAAGTGCTTAAGAAAAAGTGGTCTTGAAAATTATGTAACGATTATTGAGATCCCATTCAATACCCTACGCTGCCAGTTAGTTCGAAACCGTCTCTATGATCGTTTGTGCAGCTCAGAAAGCTATATGATCTGTCCTGACGGGAGAGACGGGGATTGCATGAGTTTAGGTATAATATACTTGATCTCATGTAACACATGTGGCGAAGAATATATTGGGGAAATGGGTTGACTTTGTGTCCGCATAAGAGAACATCTAGATGGAAAAACTAAAATCCGTTTAAACACCTCTCTAGTTACGCATGCGCCACAAAAGCAAAACGGCGATGATTTTGAAGTGAATGTGCGGATCTTAGCGCAGGAATCAAAAACATCAACGCGCAAAACTCTTGAGGCGCTTTGGATAAATTTCAAAAATCCAAAGTTGAACCGGAAAGACGAATGCCTCACTATCACGCGTAACCTGGCCCCCTATTTCAAAATGATATTTTGACCCCGGGGTGTGTCTTGCTCGCGACTCCGCGAAAACAACGCGTGGGTCGGTCCCGCACGTAACATCACGGTGAGTGGCCTTTCTGTTCAATTTAGCGTCTGTTTGGAAGTTTGATGTTCATTAACACTTTAACCTTTTTTCCACCGAAATCAAAATATTCTAGTATTAAATACGTCCAGGCTCAGAGGAAGGCGAAATCGCCGAAACGTCAGCCATCGATCAGTAACATCAAAAACAACGACAACGAAAACGAAGATCTGTACCAAGCTCGCGTCAGCTTAAGAAGATCAGTTTATAAGATCACATAAATAAATATATCAGATGTTCAGTTTGTCAAGTTGTTAGTTATTTGTTTGGTGACAAAGTACTCTTCAGCACCTACTCTCAATGAGGCCAATATTAAACGATGAGGAGTTTGCGGAGTTAGAACATTTGTCAGAGGTTTTTCGCAAAGGTGTTGGACGTCGTCTTCAAAGATATCTTGCTCTGAAGTCTTGGCTCAGCACAAACTATGTCAGGAGTTTTTTTGTCAATGTTCCATTACTGTGATGGGAAACTTCTCCATAATCAGGTTACTGACTGGTGGGAAGAGTTTGTTTACATGCGTCAACGTAGTCCTATTATGATCAATAGCAACTACTATGGATTTGTAAGTAGTTATATTAGCTGTTCTCTTAGGCAACCACAATGTTGCTCTGATATTTGCAAAAGTTGGACCCTAGGCGAAATTCTAAACCTCGATTACCCTTCTTGGGAGCGCACGTGTTTCCTGCTGCACGATCGAGGCCCTGGCTTTGCCTTTTTCTCAGCCAGTTTTTTTTTTACCATAAGGGTCATTCCCACTGACGATCGATTGCTGATATCTCCTTAGGGATAAAAAATTTGCAAAACAAAGAGCGCGGTGATGAAGTGGATAGCAGGTGAACCCTCGGAAAAAGTAATCGAGAGTTCGAATGTGGCCTGGGGTCGGACTTTTGCGAATATCTCAGCATCATTAGGCTTGTATTTCAGATGATAACCTGCTATGAAAAAATAATAGACAGTAAGTAAACAGTTAAACATTGTGATTTATAGGATACTTTGAATGAACATCCGACACATAATCAGGGAGCACGTGCTGCTAATGTTACGTACTCAGCTTTACAATTCCGCCGACAGGTGGAAAGGCAGGAAGTCACTCCCGTCAGTGTTTTCTAGACTATCTTGCTTTGTTTCCTACTTATTCTATATTGGAATTCGTTCTGTTATAACTCTGGTGTCATCTAATTGGATATGACGTGAGTCTTTTAGTTCTCGCTCTCTCCACGAACGAAAGTTCCTTTCTGCACTATGCAGTACGAGCGCTTGTTCAATAGCTGTCGTATTCCTGGAGAAGAGGTAACTTCGCAATTTCCATCATCGGGATTAAACAGCCAGCGTCTGTGGTTTTGTTACTTTTATTCTGCAGGAATTGTCACAATGTTTAAGAATCAGTATTTGAGATAGAATCGATTTTTGCTCAAAGCAATAGTTATGCGAAAGATGTTTCGATATAATACTCTGTTCACAACAAAGAAGTGGAAGCTCAACAGTACTACGATGAAACCATTTATCTACGTTTATTTGTTAGTTCAATCATTAGGTTATAATGAATCTCTTTAACACGTCAGAATCATTACTAAGATTTGGAATGGTCTGACTAAACGTCTCCTGTTTTCGGAAAGTGGTTTTTCAAGAGATAAGTACAACTGCTAATCCATATAGTTACCCTGGAGATCAACTTCCTGTTAACTTCGGCAATAGTCAATAATTTGCCGTTTTCTTGATTAGTAAACACAAGATTATGGTTATATTATTTATTCACGATGGCTGAGGTTCTAACGGATTTCACTTTCTTCAGCACAAGGAAGGGTGAAGATTATTTACTGTCCCGTCGGCTGAATTCTTCCATAACCACGACAGAGAAACGTTGAAACTGAATTTCAATGGTGTGATGGAAACAGCTTCAGACACTCAACGTTTTCTCACCGTTCGACACGGATATATAAGGGGAAGATTTTGAAGTAGAAGTCATCCTCGCACAGGAATGTAAGACTTCAGCGCGCAAAACTCTTGAAGAGTTTTGGATAAATTCCAATGATCCGCAAATGAATCGCAAAGAAGGACACCTTATTATCACGCATGGTATTACACAACATCTCAGTCTAATCTATTAACGTGGAAGAGGCACAGTACCAAACCATGTGAATTTTATGCGCTTCTTCGTACACGGAAGGCTCAATGTGAGACTCATAGAAAACGGCGAGTGTTTGAAGAAACTGGTTCCCAGTGCGATACAAATTTGTTTCGGGTTTTTCTGTTAAGGTTATGACAGCATTTGGCTGACTAGATTGCGCATCAAGTTGATCTTAACAAATTGTTGAGAAGGCAAAAACCATCGAAACGTCCGCTATCGTGGGAAAAAAGTATAGTAACAACATCATAACTGCTTGTCAATAGAGCAGTCAATTATTCCTAATCTATAGTTGGAATTACATATAGATTTCCTTATTATAATTTTCTGAGCTAGGAATACCGTGAATTAAAGTTTAGTGGTATTCTTTCAGCGGGATACTTCAGGGATTAATTACACTATTTTATATTGTTATGCTGTTCTCTGCCAATGGCTCTCGTTGCGTTTGTATTTCTATAGGCAAATTCAGTTTTAGTGCGATCGATTCTTTCACTGGGACGATGCCAGGCACGTAGCTGTTTATAGCAGGGGCTGTTGGTTCAAAGTTATTGTGCACAATGGGAAAAGGTAAATGTACCATCTAACATTCTTTCGTGTCGCGCAGTGGAGCGAGACGTTCCGCAATCAATACACATGGGATCGATCGCCGCGCCCAAGGTTCACCAAGCCTTCCATCCCTCGGGGGTCGGGAATTTGGTACCAGATTTGTCTGGGAGGACAGCAGCACTGGTACAATACATCGCTAGGCCACCGCAAGTCATTGTAAAGGCCAGATATGCATTCAGTAGTCTCTAGCGATGTTGAATGCATGGGTTATCCGTCAGAGATTGATCAACATCCAGAGCTTTATTCCTTTATTATTAATACGCTGTTTAGCTTACTAGAACGAGTTTGCTTTCCAAGTAGTCTACTAGTCTTTTCAGATATCTAGATGCATGCGAACTGCAAGTTCAGTATGATTGGATTCTTAATCAGGAATTCACTCCAGCTCAAGGCGAAGTTCGTCTTTCGCTTATGAAAGCTTTGTAAATGAAGCGATTTGGTTTACCTTGTTCTTAAGGAGAAATTGGCTGCTTTAACGGCAGGGGAGCGCACACACTGGGCAAGAACTCGTGAAGCTTTCTTCCGTTCTGGAGTTAACAGAAATAGCTTAAATGACATTGAACGAGCTGCATTTATTGTTATTCTAGACGATGTGGACGTTTCATATGATAGAGTAGGTTTCATATTTTATTTTCGTTAGTATTCTGCACCACCCAGCAGGGTCTGCCAAGCTGAGAAGGAGTCAGGCGTTTCTATCAGGAAGCCCAGCTAAGAGTAATACAGTACAAAAATCCACCACCGTCCTGGTATCAAACTGCTCTCATGGTGGCAAATCTTCCTCTGATCCACAAGGGGGGCGACTGCTTTTGGTAGTGACGACCTGGGACACTGGCCAGGCAGACCTCGGCATTCTAGAGAAGCACAATGACTAAACCTTCAAAACTGCAAAAAAGTGGAAATTGTGCTAGGGCCCGTACAGCCAGTGAAAACCGGCCATCCAAGTATTTAAATAATCTGCAACTTTCGCACTGCTAATAGTAATTGTATCGTTGTATCTAGCCTACACTGTCATCACGCAGCAGAATAGTCTATTGGGAACGCAAAATTTCTAAATGACTGTTTAGATGATCCTAATGAAATTTCGGCATTAATAGGTTTTTATGGTGTTATAGTAAAAGGAGGTTAACAGTCGATAACTTTCTTTTCAGTCCCGTTCATAGCTGACATCATACTGTTCAGACAATACGTGGTTAGACGGAGATTGCTTTTCCTAATTTACTAAAGCTTTTGGGTATGTTATAAGCAAACTAAGTATGAGTAATAATAGCATTATTATGGACAACTTCAGCTACAGTAGTGTTAATAATACGTAGTTTTCCTGTTATTTCGAAATGCTAGTATTAGTAGATAACTTTAGATAGTAGTATATAACCTTAGATAGAAATTTTAGATAGTGGGTAATGCTTCTTAATGATGCTTGTCCTCGTCGTCCATATGTTATCAAGATGTAGGCTTTTGAATAAGGTGACATAGGCCCCGCTGTTATTAGTTTTGAAAATGACAACGGGAAGCCTCGAAAATAATTAGATAAATACATAAAGAAAGATTATACAGGTGAAAGAAAGAGCGGGTCTGTTTTCGCGTCTCTTTGCTTCATCTGACTATCTGTATATGTGATAGTTAAGGAACTACATGCAGATTCCATCCATACATTGCCGTTTTAAGTGAAACCACCCGAGAACTGGCTGTTTTTTAAAGTCGATTATGCCACTTATTCGTCCTTCACCTATCATTTTGAATTACCGAGTTTTTCCTTCTTTTTTCTTTTTCTTTCTCCGCTCTCGGATGGACTGTGACTTATGCTTTTGCAAGCCGCATATTTTCTAAACATATAGACTTATGCACATAAGCGATGAATAGTACATACGAACAAGTAAATCATAAACGCAAAGTATGCACTGCATGTTAGTAATTAATGATTTAGAACGATTCGAGTAAGTTAGATCAATGGGCACATATTCTGCTTCATGGAAAAGGATATGATAGATGGTACGACAAGTCTTTCAACATTATAATATCCAAAAATGCACATGTAGGAATTAATACGGAGCATTCCTGGTGAGTTCGTTTCATCGCGTACTTTGAATTCCATTTTGATTATTAGTCACTTTAGGCATACAGAGATATGGGTAAAACTCAGAACCCTTAGTTGGGCTGCGAACTTGAGTTTGTCTTACTGGGAGTTTACATAGCTCACATGTCATCCAACACACCAGTCGAGGTCCTTGCATTGCTTTCTCTCAGCTAAATTTTTGCTTTTTGGTGCTATCTGTAATCACGGGTCAGTGGGGTTTTGATTTCAGTTGATCTTAACTGAGTTTAATGGCGATGATTTGCACGACGTAGGTCATTTCCGTTGGTGGGTATTTGCTGATAGCACCGATAAGAACAAGGCTGAGAGGAAGAGAAGACGGGGGTCTTGGTTGGTGTGGATAGTACGTGAGCTCCAGGTAGGGAAATTACGGGTTCGAAGACCACCTGAGCTTCCGAGTTTTGCTGATGTATCAGCATCGCTATGGTTGCGTTTCATGTCATACCCTGCTATGAAAAAGGAATAGGCAGAAAATAAAAGTTGCGACACTAACCAACGTTTTTTCACCCACTTTGAAATAACTACTGTTTTACTTTTTTGGAATCTATCAAGGGTACCATATATTGTTTACATATAGGGGTGACGCAGCAGTAATTGCACACTTCATGGAATGGATGTTGCTTCGAGACATAGTATTCATGGGGTATGATGAGAGTGGTAACACCAAAGGAACTCCTACACTCCGACTGAAACCCGAGCGACTAAAATGGGAACTTACGGGTTCTACGCTGGTAAAGTACTCTTTCTTCCATATTACTCTGTTTCTTGTTTTTTAATGAGGGAAAAGGCTCCTAGTTTTGTAGCTTGGCTCTCTCTCTCTCTCTCTCTCCTCGTTCTGTATGTATAATATATATAGGATGCAATTGAAGTGTCGATGAAAGTAGCCCAGGATCTTATCGACGATGTTGAAATGGCTCTTCTAGTGTGGACTGATTATGGTAAAGGATTTATAAAGAGGCTTGGTGTTTCTCCTGATGCATTTCTTCAAATGTGTTTGCAGTACACTTACTATAAGGTGACGCTTTTCTCTAGTCATTTTTTCACTTATTTGTCATCAGTAGTTAAAACATTGTTTCGTTTGCTATTGCCGAAGTTTTGGGGGAAAAAAAGAAGGAAATATTGCGCGCCACCGAACAGTTAAAACGATATCGGTTTCTAATCATTAGTCGAGCCTTAGCTTTAAAATTATTGCGTCTACTAACCACAATTTACAAAGATTTTGAAGATTTTTATTGAGCATATACTGGCAACAGGTGGCTGCTTAGTTAAGGAGTTTCGTGAAGTTTTTATGAATTAGATCACTGTTGAATCGAAAGAAGTATATTTGTTGAACACTGAGAAGTTTCTTATGGTAACGCTATTTGGTTTGTCTAGAATCAGAACAAGTTCTCACTGACCTATGAGGCATCAATGACTCGACTCTATCGCGAAGGTAGAACTGAAACGGTGCGCTCTTGTACAACAAAGTCTGTAGATTTTGTGCTGTCCATGTTGGATCCTTCCAGAAAGGTGCTTCACTTCTCATTTAATGTTCATCTAGTTTTTTGGAAGTTGGTAGCACTTTTCGTAGGTACGCCGTACATCCTACATGTTTAGCGTGAAGAGCGTCTTGCACTCTTAAGAGAGGCCTGCGACATTCATCAAGAACTTTATCGAGATGCTATGTGCGGAAAAGGAATCGATAGACATTTATTTGCTTTGTATGTTTTATTATAAATTACTCGAATTGGAATTAATGTTAACCATGTGCATTTCAAATTATTGCAGTAAGATGCAACTTTGTCAAGCTCAAAACCTAAGGTTAAATATATCTTTCATTAATGTATCCTCTCGTAGCTGGGGATAGACTAGTGCTCTAGTAATTTTCAGCAGGTGAAACACTTGCTTTGTCATTCTGACCTATGTTTGAAGTTACATGGCATATGCCACGCTATTTTCGGTCCTTCAGTGGATGGAAGATTGGTTTTTACTTGTTTTATTAGATGACCATGATTTTCACTTATTTTAGTAGATAACCATGTCCGTGTTTTATTGTAACAAACAATTCGGCCTCGTATTAGGTACGTGATCAAGCGTTACCTCGAAGAAGAGTCTCCTTTCTTCGACCGAATCTTTCCTCCAACATATCTTCTTTCTACCAGTCAAACGCCTATGAATCAAGTTGAATCTGATATGTATAACATGGACCCAGCGCAAAGAGCACGGCTCACAACGGCTGGTGGTGAGTAAACTTCGTTCGAATTTTTTTTCTATTTGTATTGAAAAGTGGTGTGAACTACATGCAAATCTGTATGTGTGTGGAGTTGCTTCTCTTTGGAGTAAGGTTTCTGAAACTTTTTAAAAAACATTCTTAATATTTGGTCAACGGTTTATGGTTTTTGGGTTGGTAATAGGCGAAGCAGTGCCAGAACTCAACATAATTATTCATTTCTTTTTGTCAGGTGGCTTTGGACCTGTAGCTGATCGTGGGTATGGCGTCTCTTACATCGTTGCCGGAGAAAATCAAATTTCTTTCCATATTTCCAGTAAACGTTCTGCTGATAACACGGTGCGTCTCTGCGTTTTCTTTTACGTTGCCCGATTTTTTTCTTATATGAAAACTCTCATCAGTAGCTTACCGCCTCGTAGTGACCGAGTGGTGTTCTTTTCTGTCAAGCTGTGGTTTATAGCATTATCAGGGTAGTGCAAACTAAATAGAGGCTTGGTATAGCCACCAAAAGGCCTGGTTACTGGACGTCTCGACACAATATTAGATAGGAAGTGGTGCTATAGATCTGTCACCACGATCGGGACGGGACACGTTTGAGTCGTATAGTCTTGATTGGGTCATCGTTTACTAAGTTGGAGTATTTCCACTTTTTACAATTGGGTCAGATTTGCTTATTGCTAAAGAATTTCGATTAAAAATGAATCCCGTATTCAGTTGTCTTTGGCGTTTAGTTTGAGCTTTCTCACATACTAACTACATTTAAGTGTGTTCAATTTAATATCTTGAAGTTTACGTACGCTGCAAACCTTTTTTCCAAAAATCAGGTGGCAGAGGGTAAGAGCAACGCTTGGACAGAAATCGCTGCTGCCCTGGGAAAATGACAATCACATAGATTAAAAATTAGATCCTGTTAACATGAGATACCAATTACTTTGGTGGCGACGTGCGCACTGCTTGCGTGATCATTTTCTAAACCTGAAAAAGGTCGAGCCAAACATGGTTTTTAAATGGTGGTTGTGGTGTTCTCTTTGGGCTATTTTTCGCGAATACAGTGATATTGTATTATTTGGAGGTATGCCGATATATGTTTGTAAACTTATTCTTTGTTTAATTTTTAGAGCTCGAAAGAATTCCGTGAGGAATTGAAACGTTCGTTAAAGGATATGCAGACTCTTTTCCTTAATAAAGCAGATGAAGTCGTAGCAAATGGGATCGACATCAAAAGTTCTTTGTGAATTTGCTGCTTTTCATGCTGATTAGGTTATGAATGTAAATAGGGTGTGAAGGTTCACCTCATGTGCCATGTATATCGGAGCTATTTCAGCAACCCCTTGCATTTCTCTAGCCACAGATTCGACTTATGAAGAATTTTTACGAAGGATGTAATTATTTGTGTTTCAAAAATCAACTCTCTTTTTAACCTCGGCTTGTCTAATCAATATTTCATTGATAAGTAGCTAACACGAGATTCTTAGAAGAAACTTCATTCGGCTAACATTTGGACGCCTTCGCGTTAAGAGCCGGATTGTAAAATTACTTATAATCATTTGTCTTAGTACTTTTTCTCTGTATCTTAGTTCTTCTCCGTTTTTGTGAATCACTTTGAGTCACATCTGTCTGATATTTCATTCGTTGTTATATTTGTGTATAATTATCTGTTCTTATTTTGATATGTACATTGCGATAGTGAAATAAATTTACGTAATTCTTTATGGGATCTTCAAGTTGGTACTGTTTAGTAGTGTTTAAATCTAGTATTGTACTGAAAAAAATACATGTTATTGAGAATACTGGAATATAGGCAATTTCTCAGAGACTTCATTACTTCTTTTTCAGTCAAACATTGTATATTCTTTAGTTCATAGTTCTATTATTACTAAATATTTGATTGCAACAGAACAGTGCCAGATGGATATTTTTTTCTATTATTACATGAACAGAGGGTGCGTGTGGCGCAGTGGTAGGAGGCGTCCTGCAATACACATGGTGTCGAGCCGGGCGCTCCAGGATCACCAAACACTTTTCCTTCGGGGGTCGGCAAATTGGTACTCGACTTGTCTGGTAGGATAGCAGCACTAGATCGATACATCGGTAGGACACAGCGAGTTATTGTAAAGGCTAGATATGCATGCAGTCACTTCCAACGATTCTTAATGAAGTCGAAAGCATGGCGCATCCTTCAGGTATTGATCAACGCCGACAGCTTTATCCTTTTTCTTATTACGTGAATCGAGACCACATGTATTGCAAGTGTGCAAATACCATAGTTCTCGCATTCGATTCGTTTCCTCGCATCCACCATTCAGAAAACGCTTCCAATATTTTTATTCCTTGTGGGTTCGGCTGCTGCTTGAGGATTTTTCGTCTTCGTTACGATTGTCCTTGAATCCCGGTGGAGTCGAATCCTACTGGAATCTTGAGAAAGCCATGCTACGTGGTCATTCCATGGGAGGGAGACTAAGGCAAGTTCAGTACAAATTTTTCGACTCCCAAAGTATAGTAGGCTTGTTTGGCTTGGGAAGGGGTCGAGCCATTACTGCGCCGCCCGCTCTCAGATGTATACTGCGTTGCATTAACACTTTCGAAACCCGGCGCACTGATTTCGATATGTACCCTACTACACCTTTCGGACTGCACATCTTGATTTCAATGCGCCAGCTTTTTCTGGCGTATTTTGCCGCACAGAGCTTTTTTCATAAGCTTTTTGTAATTCATCGACAGCTTCTGAACACAGACTTTATACTGGGGCAAAGTCATGAACAGGTGTTTTCAATGCACTATCCTTACGAAGCGGCGTGTGTGGCGCAGTGGTTGGAGGCGCTATTACGACACACATGTGGAATCGATCTCCGTGCTCATGGCCCACCAAGCCCTCCATCTCCCCGGGGTCGGCAAAATGGTGCCAGACTTGTCTGGGAGGATAGTAGCACTGGCTGGATGCATCGGTAAGCCACTGCGAGTCATTGTAAAGGCCAGATATGCATTCAATCACCTCCAGCGATGCTTAATGAAGTCGAATGCATGGCGCATCCCTCAGGGATTGATCAACACTGGGAGCTTTATCCTTTATTTATCCTTACGAAAAGCCGTTTTCGGACGATGGAATGGAGTCGATGGGGTATAAAAAATATGGAAGAGACACAGAGAAACACGTCAAGTATCATACAAAACCACGAGAAAATTGAATGACGCAACGGTTAGATAATGGACGAGTTTTTTTTTCATTATAAACAAGAGTTGGATCGCACACGAGATGTGTCCAGGAGCAAGGGAGACACAGAAGAACATAGAGGATACGGAGAATTTGGAGACAAATGGAAAATATGTGAGGGAACCGAGTAATAGAACAGTAATCTGAGGAGTTGCGTCGTGCCTTTTGAGTTTCAATGCAAATTTCGACCTAACGCCAATGATACTTGGTTTGATGGGCCTGTCACATGGAATTGTCCATGCTCGTGGCAGCGTTAGTAGCAAAGCATGTGAGAAATTCTGGAAGAACGGGAATTGAAATGGGGTCATCCAGGGGTTTAGCGTTGAAATTTGCAAATACATCTTGTCGGTGAAACTACTCATTGGTGCATTGGTGTGTTTGATTCATCTACAGAAATGGGGTGACGACGATGTTTAGCTAAAATTCACTTGGAATACCAAGGGCTTATATATTCGAAACAAACATATGGAATGACTAGTTCCTGAGATCTGAAGCTTGCACGGGTACACGATGGTTAGATTTGCCCTGCAATACAGAAATGGTGATTGGTTCGGTCTCCCGCTCCAAAATTTTCGCCAACTCGGAGTTGGAAAATTTACACAAGACCTATCTAGGAGAATAACAGTGCTAATTTAATACATAGGTAGCCATGGAAAGGCATTATATAAGCCAGATATGCATTCACCGTAGTATAATGATGTTTGATGAAGCCGAACCGTTCAGAGATTGACCAACATCGTATGCTCTGCGCTGCTCTTTATCTCTTTAAGATCTGAACATGCATGTTCTTGAAACCTTCTATTAGTATAGTCATTTTTTTTATTGCCTATTTTTTTTTCATGGCGGAGTATGGTGTGAAATATAACCACAATGTTGCTGAGATATTTGCAAAGCTCCGGACCGCAGGTGTCTGCGATGAGGATCAAACACGCTATTACCCTTTTCGGAGCTAACGTTTCACCACCACGCCATCTGGGTCTTTCGTTTCGCCTTTCTGTTGGCTATGTTTTAACCTATACGTGCTATTAGCAATCAGCCGTCAACGGGATTGATCTAGGGAGCACAAGACGGTATTGAACCCAATTAAGCTGGAGCTGGAGCGAAAATCAGTGTTATCATGTTCTATTTACTGCCTGTTGTTTTGCAAAACTGTGGACATCTGCTGATAATTCATTGTTTTAAGCGAGAAAATACGGCTCACCAGTGGCTTGCATGAGCTTCATTGTAACGAACTAAATGGCTATTTTAAAGCGGTATAACAGGCTTTGCTAGTGCAATACTGGTTCATCGGAAATTGGTCGTGGAAGTCATATTAAAACGCGCAAACCATACGACCATGACGTGTTTAGTTGCCGTGCTCTTTTCATTCCACGGCGATGGATGTTTCCAAGATCGTTGTCGACGACTCGGCATTGTGGAACGTATTATCTAAATAATGGCTCAACATGTCGTTGAGAGCACCCGTCTTGTATTTTGGCTCGAATTTCCGGCTCGTTACGAACACGAATGCTCCACCTCGAGAACAAGAACAGCTGTCGACTATCGACTCGGATCACCGGCTCTGATGAAGGTGAAGATGCCGAAACGTTAGCCAAGTAAAGATTATATATCAACCTCGTGTAAACTTGTCAAAGAAGGAATACATCTTGTTTTTTGCGTGGAAAAACTGAAATTCACCTGGTTTCTCAGTAAATGCGGTGTATACTTATAAGAGAACCAGCACGTCTTAAACGTCCTATGAGAAGCTTTATGAAAGTAGTTTTTCTATCCACTTTTTTCTTTTTTTATTTCTACTTCAGAAGTTATTTTTCTGTTGTATTTCACCATTTATTCGTACACATAGTCTACAAAAAGTCTGCCCTCTATGTGCTGAAAAGAAAATTTTCAGCTTAAGCATGCGGTTAGCTACACGTCTGTGTTCCTTGTTGTATTTCCATAACTTGCCATGTTGGCCAAACGAGTTGAAGATGGCTATTGCTGCCAGTTGTCGTGTTATTCCATCGTTTATTACTGAAGCTGAAGAATTAGAGCTTTTACAAGAAGTCGAACCTCATATGAAGAGGCTGCGATATGAGAAGGCTCACTGGGACGATGTAATGTTTTTTCACCTTCCTCTTTCTGCTATTGTCTAGTTTTTGTCCCCAATGAGGCCATAGATCGTATCGGCGATTGGACTTTTTTTTAGGTTATTCATTTGTATCGGGAACGAGAGCATCGCAAATGGTCATCGGCAAACGAGGCAGTCATTCAGCGTATGCGGTATATAGTTTTTGTTTACCTGTGTTGAAGCCGAAAGATTTGATTGTCTAGTTAATTGATGATATGTTTTGATTGATAAAAGGACAAAGGGTAATGCTCTCGGCGTTGATCAATCCCTGAAGGGTGCTCCATGCATTCAACTTTATTCGGCATCGCTGGAAGTAACTGAACACATCTGGCGTTAACGATAACACGCGATGACCTACCGATGTATCGGACCAGTGCCGCTACTCACCCAGACAAGTCTGGTACCAATGTGCCAGCCTCAGAGGGAAGGAGGGCTTAGTGAGTCTGGAGCGCGGGGATCGGCCCCATGTGTGTTGTAGGGCCCTTCCAACCACTGCACTACACACGCCCTCTATAGTATAGTATAGTTTTGGTTGATAGTTTAATAAAAACGTGTTCTCTTAAAGGGTTGAAATATGCAGATTTATTGGATACCTAGGAACCTTTGAAAAAGTGTCAGCAGATTGGAGATGTTGGCATAGATCGACATTAGCAAAATTCGTTCATTTCTCAAGCACCACTGTGCGCGGGTCTCCGAGTTCTATGCGGTTTTTTCGTACGTGAAATAACTTCATCCTTATAAACTTTCGAAATTTGAAGACACTGCAATGCCTCAATGAGCTATCATCTTCCGGAACATTTTAGTACCCAGGAGATATTGGAAAAATGAGTTGAAATGCGAAGGTAGATGTACTTGATTGCTCGGAAATAAATGAGCGTTTTAAAATGTTCATTGTTTAATGTATTTTTTTACCAATAAAATATTCTTTGTACCCTGCATTATTATATATTTTTAAAAAACTGGTTTTATGCTCCTTCTAACCATTTTTTTAAAATTTTGTTGAAAGTTAAACTTTTTTTTTACCAATTTTTTGATCTTCGCCATTGCAGATGTGAAAACGGATTTCCGTGCAATTTTCTTTTATGACTTCAAACTCGGTCGTAGTGCAGCACAGACGGCTCGAAACATTAATGAAGTTTGGGGTGAAGGTAATGTTGGTGAATGAACAGCGCGAACATGGTTCCGGGAATTCTGATCTGGTGACTTCGACATCGGAGATAAGGAAGGCCGCGAACGTTCCAATGAACTTGACGACGACGAATTGAAGGCACTAGTAGAAGCAAACACACGAACCACTGTTCGAGAGCTTGTAGAACAGCCTGGCGTAAGCACAAGAACAACTACCACTGACTTGAATCACATAGGAAAGAACAAAAACACTCAACAAGTGGGTGCCGCACGAATTAAACGATAATAAAAAAAAATCGCCGTTTTGAAGTGTTGTCTGCTCTTATTCTGCGCAACAAAAACGACCGTTTTCTTGATCCAACTGTGACATGTGACGAGAAGTGGATTGTATACAACAATCGGCGACGTTCAGCTCAGTGGTTGGGTTGCTATCAGGCTCAATATCACTTCCGAAACTTGAAATTGCATCAAAAAAGTTATGGTTAATTTTTGGTGGTCTGCAGCCGGGTTGATTCACCACAACTTTTTGAATCTGTGCAAAACGATTACGGTAGAGAAGTTTTGCCAACAAATCGATGAAAGGCACCGTGAATTCCAACAACAACGACCGGCATTAGTCTACAGAAAACGACCAACACTTCACGAGAATGCCCGGCCCCACGTTGCAGGACCAGCGCTGCAGTAGTTGAACGAGTTGTGCCAGAAACGTTTCTTCATCCACCATATGCATCAGACCTCTCGCCTACTGACTATCACTTCTTCAAGCACCTTGACAAAATCCTGTTCGAGAAGTGCTTCTCCGACTACGATGACGCAAATAATGCCTTAAACGGATTCCACGCTTCCAAAGCTTCAGAATTTTGTGCAACTGGAATAAATAAACTTGTTTTTCGTTGGCAAAAATGTGTAGATTGAAATGGACTTCATTTCGATTAATAATGTTTCGTTCGAAGCAAGTTATGACATCTTAAATCATATAATTAAAAACGCCCATTTATTTTTAAACAACTTAATAGTTGCGACATGGGTTGTTTCGATATTGTGATAGGTTTGGCGTGTGATCTGTACCGTATGGGATGTCCGGTCATTAACACTCATGTGTTCGGCCCATCTGAATGATTTTCTAGATCTTCGTATACAGAATTTTCCAATATTCTTCGTCTTTAATCGTTTACTTGGTTAGAACATCTGATTTTCTCTCCCACTTACGTGGTACGGAATACTCCAGGTATCGTCCTCTCCACAGGACGCTTGCAAGTGCAATTCGCATTTCAGAGCTGTTTTTATGACTCCTATATTTTTCGAGGCATACGTTAAAGGAGGAATAACAGTGAAATCGATGTGGTACGCGGCCTGGTGTACTTTACTTTTTCCACAATGTCTTCGATGATTCTCTGTGCTCTCCAAGTGTTGAGCTCAAAAGCTAAGAGTATTTTCACTTTTAGTTGAAAGATTCGGGAAGATTCCTTTTTTAGACCGTCAACAGAATTAAAGAGCGGTTTCTTGAACATATTTGTGCTCTTCATGTTCAGTCAGCTGAAGATTGACTTACTGTTTCGCCTTGCTAGTGTTTCGTGTTATAAGAACAATATCATTAGGTGGAAAGCAGTGATGTTGTAGCTGCCGGCCCCTAACTTTCTGGCCCTGACTAATTTTGAAGGAAGAGTATTGCCTTATTGTTGCTGGTAGCGGTACCATCCTGTAAACCGGTCAGTGAAGTAAGCAAGTCCTATTTCAATGTGGTGTCGAGCATTTGAGTTGTGAATTTTTCGCCTTTCTTCTTCATGAGGGAGTTCTATACCGAATTAATGATCTAGTCTAATTACAAGTTTAGAGGCAATGGCATTGGGAAGGCTTTTAGTATTGTTTGTGGGGCACATCTGACATTTAATGAAGAGCTTCTGGAGTTGGTTGTTCCCCACTTTACTCTCGTTCATTACGATGAGCTCAGGTAGCTTCTTCAAATCATTCCATTCCACGTCATAGGTCTCGATATGGGGTTTCTCAAACGTTTAATATATGGTCGTGTTCCCTAATTGTGTATCACGTCCATTGATTTCCAATTAATGTAACTGTTCTCCGGAAGGACAACTGTATTGTTAAACATGATAGTATAAAGCATAAAGAAATTTTCGTCTTCACCACCATATTTATTAAACCCATAAAGGAAGAGTTGCATTGAATTTCGCATGAGATCTTTCCGCGTGTAGCGCAGTGGTCAGGGGCGCCCTGTTATACATATGGGACCAGTCTTCGCGTCCAAGACTCCGCAAGCCTTCCATTCCGAGGTTGGCATATAGATACCATACTTGTCTGAGAATAGCTGCACTGGCTTGACACATCGGTAGGCCACTGCGAGTCATTGTAATGGTCAGATATGCATTTTATCACCGAATGATGTATAATGAAGTCGAATGCATGACACATCCCTCAAGGATTAGTCAACGCCGAGAACTTTATGCTTTTATCCTTTTATAAGATATATTATGTTTAATCGGATCACATGTTACCTCTCAATTTGCTTAATTTGGTTGCATTCCAGTGATTCGTCGTTCGCGTCTGATGCTCAGCACATTACACAAGTTCATGTTTTAGACCTTCACAAAGATGGTTTAATCAAACCTCACATTGATAGCGTAAGGGTATGTCAAGATTTTACTGCATTTACTACATTCCTATTGGCATGACTAGTGCTATGTGCAGCATATGAGAGTAAGTGGATGTGAGAATTATGTTGCCTATGACAGAGTAAAGTAAGGGGTGTGTGACACAGTGGTTGGAGGCGCCTTTGCGACACACACGTGGAATCGATCCCGCACTCATGGCCCACCAAGCCTTCCATCCCTCTGGGGTCGGCTAACTGGGACCAGACTTGTCTGGGAGGATAGCAGCACTGGCTGGATACATCGGTAGGCCACCGTGAGCCATTGTAAAGGCCAGATATGCATTCAATCATCTCCAACGATACTTAATGAAGTCGAATGCACGGCGCATCCCTCTGGGATTGATCGACGCCCAAAGCGTCATCCTTTTTTACCCTTTATATGATTAAACCTTAATTTGAAGGTTAAACCTTCAAATTAACCTATCCGAGAACGGCTACAACACAAAATGGTATCGAAAGCCAAGCAGTAAGAATATAGTGGTTCACTACCACTCCTCTCACCCCTCACACACTAAAAGAGCGCTTATAAGAAATATGTTTCGAACCGCCGCCAGCGTGTGCACAGGTAGAGAGCAGAGGGAAGAATCCTCGAAACTGGCGCGGCAAATAGCCATTTCAAATGGTTACGAAACTGTAGCTTCTCATGATAGGCATCGAGGAAATCCCACGCCCTAGAGCGATAATTCTAGCGAAAACAAGGCTCCGTTCCTGTTGCCCTTTATTTCAAACGAAATAAGTGCAGCTATAAAACGCTGCTTAATAAGGGCCGGTCTAGAGAATTCCGTAAGAGTGATAGAAATACCACCGGACACTCTAAGACGCCAGCTAGTTCGCAACCGCCTGTACGACCGTCTATGTACAACAAAAAACTGCATAATTTGCCCAAATTGTAGAGACGGTGATTGCATGAGTTCGGGTACGGTCTATCTGATCTTTTGTAAAGCGTGCGGGCACGAATATGTTGGCGAAACGGGTAGACCGCTCTGCGTCCGCATAAAAGAACACCTAGTCGGTAAATCTAAACTAAAACAAAATACTCCACTAGGCGCGCATAGGATGCGGGAACACAACGGAGAAGATTTTGAGGTAGGAGTCACTATCCTTACGCAGGAATCGAAAACATCAGCGCGTAAAACTCTTGAAGCCTTTTGGATCAATGCCAAAAATTCAAAAATGAACTGCAAGGAGGAGTGTCTTGTCATCACGCGTGACCTGGCGCCATACCTCAGGCTGATCCAATGACCTGACATGGACACAGTTATCGACCATGTATTACTCTGTGCGGCGGCTATCCACCAACTAACNTCTATCTGATCTTTTGTAAAGCGTGCGGGCACGAATATGTTGGCGAAACGGGTAGACCGCTCTGCGTCCGCATAAAAGAACACCTAGTCGGTAAATCTAAACTAAAACAAAATACTCCACTAGGCGCGCATAGGATGCGGGAACACAACGGAGAAGATTTTGAGGTAGGAGTCACTATCCTTACGCAGGAATCGAAAACATCAGCGCGTAAAACTCTTGAAGCCTTTTGGATCAATGCCAAAAATTCAAAAATGAACTGCAAGGAGGAGTGTCTTGTCATCACGCGTGACCTGGCGCCATACCTCAGGCTGATCCAATGACCTGACATGGACACAGTTATCGACCATGTATTACTCTGTGCGGCGGCTATCCACCAACTAACTTAGATACTTACAGGAAATAAACGGTAGGTGTTTAAATGAAGCTGTTTCTTATGCGAATGCAAATCGAATTGTCAAGTTTTATCTGCTAGGGTTGTGAAAGTGTTTGGCTGAGTAGATCACATCTCAATTTGACCTTTCCAGGCTCTGAAGAAGGCGAAACCGCCGAAACGTCAGCAATTGTGTTCTAATAAATTCTATATTAACAACCTCGTGTCTGCTTATTGATGAAAAACATTGAATTATCAATTAATGCCGAGGTTAACAGAAAGTCGGTCTTGGAAAAATCGCTGTGTTTTACGTCTGTTTGAGTTTCTACTTTTTTCATTTTATGTATCAAAGTGTCTACTTAGATACATATTTTATCTGTCTGCATATAATGTGCGTTTCCCAGAAATCAATCCGTTCGTTCAATTGTCTTGGTCGGATTCGTGAGTGGGTTGTGCTGCTGCTCGAGGATCACTAGTGCTTCTCATTGATGCGTTCAAGGACGGCTGAGCATGCTTTTTCCTGGGATCCTGAGAGAGTCGAAGATGTTTCCAAGTCTTCTCTCTTAATAGTATTTGGCCTTTGTGGAGAACAATGCTACCATACAAATACGATACTTGCATGACGTGTATTTAGCGTGTCCCAGCATTTCCGTCCACTTGTTTGTCTTGCAGCCGTTATCCACGCACTTGCTCATGTCTTGTAGCTCCTGCTGCGGTTTAGAGATCCGAAAGTTGGTTCCAGTTAGTAGTATATCTGACTCACCTTTTCTCGAGGTCGTTTTGTTTGACTTGGTGTCCACACTAATGTTGTTTTCGGTCAGTTGTTGTATTCTCTTCTCATTGTATGACTAACTCACCTGATGTTTATTCCTTAAGACATATTTTTCAGAGTCTCCATGAAATGAACTGCGGAAGCTTGTTTCGAGGTTAGTGCGCAAATTCGTTTTCGAAAGACGTTGTTCAAGTGTTTTGTGTATTGTGCGCAACATCTTCGATATGGCTGAACTCCATTTTCGTAATGATATCACAGAGCCGAGAGAACTGTTGCGGCAAATAACTGAGCGTTTAATTCAGGTGTAGTATGTTGATCAGTAACCTCGGTCAGAGGATATGGCAACGCCCATACTACCGGTTGTTTTTTACTGAGTCCTCTCTCATTCCTTTCCATTTTTATTAGAAGTCCCAAGTATACATAGCATTTTATCTCCTCAGTTTATGATCCACGCAGGTTACTGTGTTGCCTTCGCTTCTGCTGTGCTGCTCGAAACGAGAACAATGTGCTCGATAAAACTAAGGTTGTGGAATCGTCTATCGTTATACATCTCTTGGTCGTCCTATTCGAGTAACTACATGCGTCTCTGTAGCGTTGCAGTGAAAAACTTTGGCGATATTGTGTCTCGTTGTATTCTTTACCAGTTGGAATAACGAATGATCGGTGAAAAAGCTGTATCGTCTTTGTATGATACGTTGGCTGTTACAGTCAGTCAGTTTATATGTAGAACGTCGTTTGCACCTTTGTCATCCAGGACGGACAGGATGACATTGCTTTCCAGACTGTCACAACCTTCCGTAGTTTCTCCTTGCTTTCCCCGTGTTGAGACGATAGTCATGTGATATCTTCTGCAGATGTCTACAACGGGAAAGTTAAAATATACAAGCGCATAAACAACTTTTGGGTTACAGCACTCCATATGAAGAATAGTGCTTTTCAGTATTGTGGTGACGTCATCGCAGGAATTTCGCTTCTATCAGATGCTGTTATGCGTTTACGACATAAGGATTCAAAGGACAGTTGGATTGTTGATTTACTTCTTCCTAGAAGGTCACTATACCGCATGGGGTGAGCGGTCTCGTTTCGAGCTCCTTTCAAATTTTACGTTTCTTAGTATATTTTTAGGGAGGAGAGCCGTTACGATTTCACTCATGAAATATTGTCAAACGATGACTCAGTATTTGATGGAAAACGAGTCGAAAAATCTCGAAGGATATCTATTATATGTCGCGATTTACCAAAACAACATCACGCGGATGCTACACCACTGCAAATCATTTGAAGCCAGTTCCACAATCATAATAACTGATCTCTGTTGGTATTACAGAATGTCAACTTTTTTATTTATTGCCTACTATTTTTAATAGCAGGTTATGTGAAACATAACAATAATGATGCTAAGATATTTACAAAACTGCTGACCGTTGGTGTCCGCGGTGGGGACCGAACACGATATTAGCCTTTCCGAGAGGTTTCCGGGGGTTTCCTTCCCCCGGAAGCGTGTTCGTTCTCCACTGCAGACACCAACGATACGGAGTTTTGCAAATATCTCAGCATCATTATGGCTATATTACAGAATGTATTTAATAATTTATGAACTTCTGAGTTCAAGGAATGTTCCTTGTGAGGCGTGACAGATGCTTTATGTCATCTAGGAGTACCATCGTCAAACATCGTTAAATACAGATGTTTATTTCTTATAAGTGTATATTTAATTTTTGACCACAATTTTATCCATTAACGCGGTGTTTCATTGTATGCACTTTTCCCAGTCGTATGGAAATTCTTCCACTGCGTTCCTGGACATGGCCTTTCGCAAGGTAACATAAATCATTTGGTAGTCAGGTTCGTCAAAGAATTGAAGACCATCGATATGACTGCAATCATGCTATAGCCATCTTTCAGTGGTCACACAACCGCTTAATAAGCACGACATAAGACAACTCACTCGAGCACTTGCTTGTATTCCTCCCTAGGGCACAGCTTCATCATCTCACTGAGTAGAGGTTCTTGACGCGAATCAACTTTTGTTTTCCCGACCTTAATGGAGAAAGCGTTATTTAGAAGCTTAGCATTTAATAATAGACGAATATTTTCTAACATCCTTGATATTCGTGACTCCCTTCCACGGAAGTTGAGCATTTGTGAAGTCGATCAGCATGTAGAACCTAGATGGTAAACGGACAGAGTATTGGTGTGGCTTATGTGTACTGGTTCGTATTTGTAGAATGGACACGATGTGCCGAGGCGCCCACTCAATAATCATGATCTCTTTCTTACTTAATCTGCACTGTAGGAATAGTTCAGTTCATCATATATAAACTTCTGATTTTTCTTCCTACACTTATAACAAATCGATTTCGATAGCATAAGGTGCTACATGTTGTGAGCTTTCGTCGGATATTCTAAAACAGTTCGACAGTTTAAACAAGGGTAACACAAGCTGCAAAGGTGTGCCTTGAATCTTAATTGATCGTTACGGCAGACAAAAATTGGTGGCCGTTCCTCATAACACCAACGGTTGAGGTTCCGTCGAACTTTCCACGCTCCGATTAAACAATTTAGATCGCCTACTTTAAATCTATGTTGCTTCTATTGTATTGATAAGGCTTTCTGAGCGAGTTTGTAAGTGTTTATGCGACTTGAATCCGCTACCAGAACAACAGGCGCACTCTTTTATTTGTCAGGCACTGAAGACCATACAACTCTTCAAAGCCTTATATGTCACAATTTACTTGACAGTGTCGGTTCTTTTGAATTCGAAAGCCATGATCATGTGGCAGTTGCTGAGGTCGATTCCCAACGGCTACATAAAACAATCGAGAAAACTCGCCACGCCTGTGAAGAAAAAGCGATTAAAAGGAATAAGTGCGCAGCCTGTGGAGATGTTTTTGTGAAAAGTTAGCTTCGGATCGCTCTGACTATCTGAAATGTCGGATATTTCCTCTGCCTAGATGACTGTGCCCGAAAAATGATCCCCACTGTTCCTTCTAAGCAAACATTCTATAGCAGTTATCGGTTACTTTCTACCCAAAACCAATAAAAAAAAAAACTGCCTCATATCGAAAGCATGATGCTCTGCGTGTCCTCAGAGCAAGCGAATCCATTTAAAAGCATGAAGTGCGGGAAAGACCTATCGAAGAATTTTCTTGTATTCGTTCATATAACTCGATGATTGGCAGGCATTACAGATCATAGGGGTGACACGCAATGAACTGAGTTTAAAACAAACGAGTACGAGTTATTACAATACATGGTCGCTTGCTCATTCGGCATTAGTTGCTACTATTACTCGTATTGCTACTATTGTTATCATTACTGGCTTCACATGACCTCTTTATTGTACCGATCCCATCGTTTCTTGCATTCGATTCGTCTCCTCAATCCGTCATTCACGACGGTCTTCGAAGTTTTTGAGTGTGGTTTCCAAAGCTACTAGGGGACCTTGGTCTTCCTCATGCTCTATAGGTGGTCGAATCAGCAATTTTCTTCTTGATGGACTGCATCACTAACCACTTCGCTAGCGCCATTCTACATTACTTGTATTCAATAAAGTACCTGGTATACCATTTAGAGGGTATAGTACCTGTCGTATCAATGAAGAAAATAAAGGAATCGAACAGGCATACCAGCTCTCAATGTCGTCTTTGCGACAGTGTTCCTTGTAATTGTGTGAAGTGATCGGTGCATACCGAGGAGTTCCTCGAAATGGAGCCTTCTTCCGAGGCTGCAACATCACATTCTGAAAACACTGAGAATGTCTGACTACCTGAGTGGTTTGCTTTCCTATATTCGCTAAAATTGAGCATCGAAGCAGAAGTGTAATAAATGGATTAGCTAAGGAGGAACTTCATCTTTCTGGAAGTGTGCTAAACATTACTTTATTATCCACGTATTTGCGGCACATTCCAAAATCGAGAATGTAGAGCTTTCGAAGGTCACCCGTTTCAGCACGACCGACTGCGAAGTTCCCCGGTTTCACATCTCTGAATGACTCTAGTACTTTCGGTGATACAAATCCTGATAACGGGATTTGGAAACAATCCCTATCCGGGATTTTTCTTTGTGGAAAAACGAACAAAAATCTGATGCCTAGGGAAAATAGTTTTGAGATTGTTAGTTATTGACAGTATTTTCACACTGTTAGAGTTTTAAGGGACTTTATGATAGTCTCTAAAATTTCGTCAGAGTTCATATCCCTGTGTTTCAACTAATTTTAGTGTGTGTGGAGCTGTTCCATATTTACTACTAATTTGGTTGGTTAAAAATAATGGACGAATTTGATCTGGAATGAACTGTATGAATGAATGGAATTGAAATGCTAGGACTAGGCCGAAGCACAACTTTATTATCATAAGAAACATTAGAATTTATACGTTGTGGTCAACACCATGAAGACTTCATTTTTCCAAAGCATAAAACCTAAAAGCTCGAAACGATTTTTTGGACAGAAATCTCAGGATCGGCCGATGATTTTTCCATCTCGTTCTCGAGATGTCTAAGAGGAGGTGATAGTTGGACAGTGCTAAGGCTAAGGTCATGAATGTGACAAGTGAGAAGAAGTATCGTAGTCCAAGTGATTCACCTTCAGCAGCATTAGTTATTCGTGTGGTTGCACCTCGTCATTCAAGAGAATTGGTTGATACATAGGTGCATTGTTCAACTTTCTGAGAATGCTTCTCCGTATCTAGTCAGCCCATCGTTGAAAAACTGATAGTAGATGAGTTTGTCTGTCGGAAACGCAAATGACACCGGGGCCATCTTTTCATACAAATTCGGATTTGGGATATGCTTAGTAGTTCAATCTCATTCAAACATCCATGCTGAATGTCATCCTCGTTGAACAGGGTTCAAATTTTATCACAAATCATAGTGAAGCGAGGAATGGATGGTTTTTTTGCATGAAAAAATCACAGGACAGACTTCGTAGTGACCATGATCCCGCCGTCCACTCAATGCGTACAGTATGCACTTATCGCACTTTTTCACCTTCTCACTTATTTCCAAATGACGTACGACTGTTGTAAAATTGTTATTATTAACTTTCTCCACTGGTGCTTGAATGACTTGCTAGAGGAAGCTGTGATTATGGGTTTCAGAGGACCGATATGTGCACTTGTTAGGCGATAGACGCCTATGGCCTCTCAGTCATGAGGAGCCGTTTCTCTGGTACGAAATTTATGAACCAGGTTTGGATCACGAACTATACGCTTCCTTGACTCCTAGTTCGATGATATTTCGAATAGTTGCCGTTGCTTCATATCTAGGTTTTAAATTGAAACAAAACAATGCGATTTTCACGATTTCAGAGCATAATTTCATAATTTCAACCTTCTTAATACCGTAGCAGGTCAAACGCTAGAAAAAGAATTATTACTCGACAAATTTTTAACAGTGAAAGTCTAGTTACGTTTGCTTAAGCTTTAAGTTAGGTTTTAGGTCAAGTTGAGCTTTACAGGGCAAGTTAAGTTCTATAGGTCAAGTTAAGTTTTACAGGTCAAATTGAGTTTTACAGATCAAGTCAAGTATTTTAGGTCAAGTGAAATTTTATAGGTTAAGCTTTAAGTCAGGTTTAAGTTGAGTTTTATAAGTTATTCGTAATGGTTTACAATGCTATACAGAGTGAATGTCATTAATGAATTGTCATTAATAAATATTTACTAGAAAATGTTTTAGTAAAATCCATGACGACCAAATCCGTAATTATCTTTGCGCCATTCTAATACGAAGTTGTAAAACTTACGATATTGAAGCATATAATGGCTATAGCTGGCTAGTTACCATCTGCTACATAGCAAATGTTGTATAGGAATTGTCTAAGAACTCAATGAACTGCCTTGTCGAGAAGTCTCGGTGTGTAAACGACATACCGTTTGCTTTTTCTAACTATTAATATGACATTTGTTAAAGATTTACCTATGGAAATCTACTTTAATACCAGTTACTTACTTGGTTGTATAATCTAGTGGAAGCTAACCTGTGAAGGAATCCGGCCCAGTGTAGTTCCTCGAGCGCCTCTAGACATTGAATAGAGCATCCTATAGCTGGTCCTAATGACAAATGTTGATCCGGACCTGATTTTTTCGCTTCCTGTGAAAAAATCTTGAATTCGGTATATTAAACAGAACTGTGTGCAACATCCTATGCTGATTTCGTCTTCTTGCAGCAGAGATTACCCAATTATTCGATTCTAATTTTAGGGGATCCGTAGCGAAAATTGGATCTATAAAGCTGTTGCGTCGTAGCACTCATTCTCATCCAGAAGATGAAGCTTCAAGCATTAATTCTACAGTGGACATCCGATTCATCAAGTTAATGTTGAATTCAACAAACTGGATCATTGAGGCTTCCCAGTTATCTCAGCGCTCCATTTTTCTTTAATGAGAAAAACCTGCATTGCAGTGGACTTATAATTGATTATGATGGGGTAGCATAAAGAAGCTGCAAAATTAAGAGTAGTGCAACAGAGTTATGAGTGATGGCAACGAAATATCCTTGAAGAGGAATTTTGCTAACGGTCGTAAGGGTTGAAGATGAAAGAACTGCGAAAAAAAAATGCAGAAAACAACTAAGTTTGTCACGGCTGCAGATTTTTTTAATGTTAGAATGCCAGGTTGAAAATCGACGAGATGGCGAACCAAACGAATAGGATCAGAGACTTTATCGGCGAAAAACTACTGTTTTTGACAAACCACAATTTCTTACACATTCTTCTTTTTAGTCTTGGCTTAGAAATGGACGGCACCTTTAAACCTGCCTTCTTGCTCTGTGGTTCCATTGTGGGAAGCATGGTAAAGCACTGTTTCCATGGCTTCATTCAGATGAAACAGGATACGGGAATTGTTGTCTACACTTTACTGAATTGTAGTGAAGTTTCCTTTTTCTTGATCATCTTAAAGTTTTTTTCTCTGCTAAAAATACCGTATATGCTCTCACCTGTAAAGATTTTCCAAGTAGTTTCATCACGATGTAGTTAAAGTGCTCCAAACGTCCTTTGTCTATTAAGTCGGGCATGTGAACGGCATTTCTCGCTTGAAGGCGTTGCATCACGATAAGCTCAAGTCGTAAAAGCTGCAATATTTTGAAAGAATGCAGTGGCTCAGAAGAATGCTGTGTGCTACCCGCAACATCGTCAAACATTCAGCCCAACTTTTCTGTTACTGAACATTTCACTAATCCCTCCCACACAACTCGACCCTTAGTTTATCTTGTCATTAAAGACATGGGGATGCGCCATGTAAATGTCCTTACTAAGTCCAAATAAGACTGTTTTGAAAAATGCTCAGGAAATTCTTCATGCAGAAATGACAACTTTTATGATATTCTTAGATCGTTTACGCCGCACAGGTCACAGTTTTCGGCGAAACTATAAGTGTATTTAGCACGATAAAAGGAAAGAGTATGATCACGACGATCAGGAGTAGAAATCTAGGTGAAGGGAGCGAAAATTGAACTTTTGTGGACGATTGAACCTTCGAGGAAGCCCGTGTGCCGAAGGACCATAGGTCATGCCATCTAAGCTGACGTTCATATTGAACCTATGACCATTAAGTATGACTGGATTTTGGCCATGTTATGCACCGATTTTGATTCTGATTTTGATAATGCTGTAATGGTTGACACAAAAAATGTTGATGTACTCGTTAATATTCCAATTGTTAACACTAGAGATGTCTTTAACGCTGCACTTCACATAGTGGAGATTTCACAGTAGAGTGATATGGGCGATATGGAGAGTAGTTACTTAGGATACAACGGTTCCTGGTGAAGTGTTTTGTGGGAAATATTTACTATTAGGAGAGGTCAAAAAACTCGTAAAGCGTAGTTTGAGGTGCCCTGTAACGACACGTAGTCGTTGGTTCGATCACACGCTTAGGACTTACCAAGGTTTCCCTTCCCTCCGAAGTCGACAAATTGGTATCAGACTTGTTTGGGAGGACAGCAGCACCGATTCGGTATAGTGGTCATCGCAAGCCCTTGTATAGGTCAGGTATGCGCTACATCGCAAGAAGTAATTGAATCCATATTCAGTCACCTCTTACGATGCTTCATGAAGTTGAATTATGTTGCATCCCTCCGAGATTGATCAACGCCGTGAACTTTATCCTTTTCCCTTTATGGGAAGGGGTAGGACACTAGAATTAGAAGGGCGAAATGAGCACAAGATTTTGTTCGGTGTGTTGGCGAGCTATTTTAAGAATTCCATCGCCATAAACTGAAAAGTGGTAAAAGGGTTGAGGCAAGAATAAGCATGGGAACCAAACTCTATCTACATCCCTAACAATGGCAAAGGAACGACTTCAGGCAACGACGTTAATGTCCTCAAAACGTGAAGCACAAAAGTACGAAAACGGCCACGTGGCAACATGAAGATTTATCTCTAGTCGCGAAGGCTTGGTACATCACTCATCACTCGCCACCAAACGTTCCTTATTGTCTTGTATATATCCTTAATAAATTTCGGAAGTACCTCGCCAAATTTTTACCATTTCGTTTAATTTGAAGCCAGCATGGTCATTTCATGCTCAGTATAATGATCTGTTATCCTCAGTGTCTACTTACCGGTACCTTCTCGTTGACACTTTCGGCTTTAAGCGCAGCCTCTTTTCCTTCCGCATACTTGACCTGAATTCATAGAAGAGTGGATATAACATCTTAGTGCTAGTGAGTAAGTTCTTACCGCATACACAGCTCCAAAAGAACCTTCTCCCAGCTTTCTAGTCACAGTGTACTTGTCGATGATTTTCCCTGGTTCAAGTTGAACGAGATTACTTCCTTCTGCCATATCCACCACATCAACGGACTGCAACTAAAAAGTGGTGAAACACTGTGTGGAACGTGATTGTTTGCTAACAATGTTATCAAGGTACATCGTGTTTATATAAGGCATAATATTTAATGCTCACGGAAATAACCAATTCATTTCTCGTTTCTATGGTTGACCATGTTGGAAAATTCAACTTTGTGCTGGAAAACCTAGTTTGTGAAAAACGTTTTGGAAAACATAGGTGAAATTCCATAGTTCTCTACTAGAAAATCGCCGTTTTGAGATACCGTTGGCATATCTTCTCCTCCTCCGGAACAATTGTTTTTCGACCATGTGAGCTAGGACAATAAATGGGTCCTGTATGATAATCGGGGAAAATCGACTTGGTGGTTGGACCACGACGAAGCTCTGTAGTCGTTGGAAAAACCGAAATTCCACCAAAATAAAATCATGCCAGCCGCTTGGTATAGTTTACAGCTGTTTTGGTCCATTACAACTTTTTGAATCCGGTTTAAACGTTAAAGGCGAGTAAGCTCGTCAGCAGATCGACAAAATGTATCGCAGACTTGAATGCTTGCTTCCCACGTTGCGTAGGAGTAACAGATCAATCGTTCTCTAGACGAGCTCGTCTGCGAAACTCTGCCTTGTTCACCATACTGGAGAAAGCTCTCTTCTACTTATTACCATATCTTTAACCATCCTAACAACTTTTTGTTTGATAAATGCTCCAAAAGCAAATAGTGGCCGAAGTTATCTTCAACGACTTCATAACTTCCAGAACTATAAGATTTTAAACAGCCGTTACGGATAAATTTGAGTCTAGTTCTCAACTCCATGTTTATTGGAAGATGCAAAAAAGTCAGAAAGAGTTTATATCAATGCTCATTTTTATTGGATCTACAAGAAAAACGTTCAGCACGGCAAATTGTATCGCAGTCGACCGTTCCTTGCCATTAGTGTGAATTGTTACCCACTTTGCTGTAGTACTGTAAATGTACATATAAGTGAATGTTAGTAATTTCTATTTCTCTGCACATCTGTATTTATCACACCCCCGCCTCACCTCTGATTCCTGTAGTCCATGAAGTCCCTTCACTGAGAAAATACGTGCGTTGCTTGTCTAGTAAGAACTGCTAGTATCGCACATTCTGTATAAGGTCTCTCAATCTTACCGCTTTTGTTAACAGTGTATTCACAAGCACCACTCCTAGATTAACAAGGCTTGATATAATCAGGAGTTGTAGCGTCTTTCTGGTTACTCGACTATGAAGTTTTTGATTGAATTGACGCACATATTATAAAATTCTTTTAACGCATAAGCATAGTAGTCAATGTAGGAATGAATATGACTTCATACTTATTTGGGTAGTTGGATTGCTCATCCTTTCTGGCTGTGTGGGCTCCAGCACAATTCCCACTCGTTTCTCTATCGTGAATCCATGGTGGTACTCTGCTTAGAACCTGTGACGTCCGTAAGGCACACTCTGCAGTCCTGAAATCGTTTCCATCTGCGATTGGTCGTTCAAGAGGAAACTCGGGTTCTCTTGGGATCGACTCCACTGTTCTTTTCGTCCATCTCTCAGCTGTTCCTTTCATTATGTGACCGGCTATCTTTGTTTCGTTATTGATATATATATATATATATTTTTCTGGATCCTGAGTGTAGAATAGGTTTTAAAGAATTAAGCTGCGCATTCCGGCTAGAAGTTGTGAGTGCCAGTTAAATTTCAGAAGATGTCGTTCATGCGTTTTGTGGGTGGTGAGCAGATCCCTTGACGTAGTTGAAGTATCAGCGCACGTTTCTGCTGTGAAACAGAGCTCTAGAAGGAGCACTGAATCGAAAAAGTGAGCTCGCTATTTTGAGCTCGTTGGTTGCTCGTCCTATATTAGAACTCTGTCTGACTGCTATTGGAACTGCACTACGAAAATACAGCTTTTCCATCGACCTCTCACCATACCCATAGAAAAGCGGCTCCAGAAGGCGGGACAATAACGTCTAAGCTGTTTAGTACTGGTCTGCAGGGGATAATGAAGTCACCTGAATGAGTGAGGCTTACATATTGATGGAAAAGTTCTATCAAGTTGTGGTGTTGGGGATAATATCGTCATGTTTTCCAGGGGCACCAGTGAAACAGAGACGATAAACTCAAAGAAGCGATAAAAGATTGGACTACTTATAACTCGAGGGAACACCCATTTTATGAAAAACCTATGGTGTGAAGGCGAACAAGTCGAACTGTATAGTTTTTGATTGCAAAAGTACCTCGTACAGTACCTTGTTCATTAAATGAACGTGGAGAATAATACGAACGATGAATTAAGAAAACGAATTAGAGGGTAGGAAATAGAGCAGCTTGGGTCGCATTCGGCCCTTTCAAAAAGCCACCGTCCAACTAAAGGACCCTAAAATCCGCCTCACCTTTTCATTTCAACGGTCCTCCTAGCGCTCTGTTATGCTAAAGAAACGTGGGCTGATACTACTTCAACTACGTCAAGAATAGTGTGCACTACTCAAGGACCGCTTGAACGATGTCTTCTGGAATATAACCAACATTCTCAATATCAAAGCGGAATGCGAACCTCTGACCTTTGAAATCTATTTCATCCTCGATACCTAGACAAACATACATCGATAGCTAAACAAAGATGTGCTTCTCGCAACTAGAGTTAATCAGCGTACTCGCAGGTGCAGTTGTTTCACTGATCTCGGTTTGAGAGTCGCCTCCACCACCATGGTCGAATAAGGACACCAACATATACGACGACTGCGAGCAAAAAAAACAAACGCCAAGTGTGGTATATGCAAGTGTGGCAATTAGTATGGAACTTCTCAGATATCATTTCTATATCCTGGCGGAATGCTGTGATAGTCTCATCTTCGTTCGCCAGGGCGGGTAGCTTGACATTGTAGTCGCAATGATCCCTGCGAGACTTCTTCAGACTAGATCGTTTTTACTAGGTCTAAAGACTAAAAAATTTAATCTGATCTAATTCAAAAGGCGGACTTTCTTTAAACTTCGGTATAAATAGTTGACACATCTACTTATATCATCTTATTAACTGATCTTTTTAACTAATACAAAGTTGGTACGAGCTTTCGTTGTCGTTGTTGCTGTTTGTTGGTGTTGTTGGTCAATGGCTGACGTTTCAGCGATTTCGCCTCCCTCAGGGCCGAGCTGTTACGAGTGGGACTCTTTGCACACATATAGAAAATATAAGCTATTCCTGTGCAACGAAGTGTTGAGCCATACGCTGAATTCACCGATGTCTTGAATCAGGTGATTCATCGCCTTCAATATTGAAATCTCTCTTATCAACATAGGGACGCATCAAGCACATCATGGTCAACAAACGCAAGAAATGGATTGATAAGAAAAACTTGATTAATTCACACAAAAATATCATCCTCCCAACGGCTTACCGCCTCATCGTGCTTGGGAGGTATTTCTGGGTGTTGGGATTCGATGTACAGCAGGGAGATTCATCTCCTCGCCAGGTCTCCCAGGCTGAGAAAGAGTCCTGCGTTTCCATCAGGAAGCCCAGCTAGGAGTAAATCAATACCAGGACCTACGTCCTAGTATTAAACTAGTCGCATGGTGACAAATCTCCAATCCACAAGAGCGGTTTTTTCAGGTGACTGCTTGTGGTGGTGAGGACCTGCGGCAGACTTCGGCCTGGTTGACCTCGGGACTCCAGGGAGCCATATTGGCGAAAACGTCAGAACTCCGATGAGTGGAAAATGTGCTGGCGCCCACACAGCCAGTGAAGGCGGGCCATCCAGGTATGCATGTTTCCAAGAAATATAGAATTTCCAAAGCGTGTGCTTTCAAAAGACGAAGCGCATTAGTTGAAATACTAGTCAACTCGCTCAGTGCCGTAGTTCGGCTCACACTGACCCAACTGAGCTTTCTAGAGCAAGTGGAAATTCTACCTGAAAAATGCTCAAACCTATCAACAAAGGCTATCATGTGCTTAAGTCTTGGAATTGCCCTAATACATTCGTCGAAGATTTCCAGAGAATCGTTCCTACCAACCTTCAACGGCATTCTAAAACAAGACCAAAAATCCTTAATCATGGCCGAACTCATGGGCAAATGCATGCGAAGACCTTATGATGAATGGAAATGAACGATGGACGATGAATGTAAGGTAAGGAAAAGAATCGAATGCAGGAAATGCTGGAACCTGCACCATGCTTGTTGTTGGGCCATGTAATAAAAATCCTTTTGTAAAGCTTTTGTATAAGCAATTATGAGCCAAAAATTTTCCTCGGTGATTTCAATTTTGGCCTTTGAAAGTGTAAGTTAGTATCCTATTGGAAAAGATGCTTAACATAGAACGCATGACAACGAGAAGATATAGCAGTGATACTTTAAGGACGGAATACAAACAAATGAAAATAAAATGATAAAACGATCATCCGAAAGAAATTATTGATAGATGACGTGGTCGTGGGAGAAAGTTGCTGTAGGGTGGGATTTTCTACTTTCACGTCACATATCTGCAACACGATGAGCAACATTTTTCAAACAAAAAGTTGATATCCCCGTGCAACTGTTCCGTTTGTGTAATGGGCTGGAAATATCCTCATTTGTACGACGACGAAGACGCCACATCGAGATAACGAATAACTGTGGGCAACCGACACGGACTCTTGGTTCTGATGGAGAAGAAGGCATCGAAAGGTTAGCCGAAATAAACCTATTTATCAACCTAAGCTCAACAATCAAACCTCTTTCTGGCTTACGATCCTGCTGCAATGTTGCCATCCAACATACCGTAGTGCTTTTCAATAATAAGTGCCATGTGTGAAATGTGGTGTAAAAGATATCGCTTTTGCGCAGTTTCCTTGTGCTGCATAGTTTTTCAGCCAGATTTCTTGCTGACATAAGCAATGATTTGAATGCAGTTTTTTTGTATCTTTCTACTTCTGTTCAGCAAACACGAGGTGCTATTTCATTTTTTTATTTACGCACAAGTTCGGCGGATTCCGCCTTCCTCAGAGCCTGGAAGGGTCA